TTTTTGCTGTGCTTAAAAGCACTTTTGTAAATTTGTAAAGTAATTAAGTACAAGTACAAAGCACATACTGTAGATTATATTGAAAAGGTACTTGTAAGCAGCACTAACTGCACTTTGAAAGCTGTGCTTATTTGTTCTTAAGTACAAGCACCAAGTGCTTGACCCCATGCCCGTTCCTATCTTTATTTTATTGTAGGATTCTGTTAATGTTAGTTCAGCAGTGACAGTTCAGTTAATATTAGCAATCACTAGTAACATATTACAGTCTCCAGTGCCACTCCCCCAGGAAGCTATAGGAATGATATTACAATCACTGAGGTAATGATACAGGAAATGTGTCTGAATGAAATCCTATTTATTACTGTTTGTCTTATAGAATTGATTTTTATCTTTCTCTTAGCATTGTGTGATTAAGTACGTGTATATGCATTTTTGACAGGAAAGTTTTGTCCAAGCATCGCAAGAATTATTTCATTCACAAAGAGGCATTAGTATTACTTAAGAAATTGATAATCAGTTCTAATTGGAGTATGGAGCAGTCAGATTGCTTGAGCTTATTGTCAGCGTTCTGGTTAGTTTCATATTTATCTGTAATTCTGTATCTGTGTCCTATTATGTGTATGTTGTATTCATAAAGCACGTGTTAATGCCAAATGTGATTTTACTTTTGTATTCCACCTACACATACCATAATACCAATACTGTTTGAGTCTATTTTGTTTTGTTTATTTACACTTATGTTGTTGGTTTATCTAGTGGTTTCTCAGTTTATGTACTGGTGGTGATATTATTTATTTAGCATAGGAGCAGGATGCTTGTGTAGCCTCCTTTCTTGTAGCAAAATGAAAGAAAAATAAATGAGTTTAAACTTTATACCTAGACATTTGACATACTCTAAACTACATGTATTTATGTTATTATAAGTATATGAAGCATCAGTCAGTGGTATCCAACTCTATATGGATGGGATGAGACTTGTGGTCCTGTTTCTGGGATCTCATATATCATATCAACATTGCTGCTAGTACTAGTAAAGTAGTAGTTGTTGGTAGTGTTTGGTATTTCATCACTCATCATTTCGTAAAATGGATCCTCCTTAATGGTAACAGGACTTTCAACAGTCTCTTGTTGAGTGCAAGGCTGCATAAAGTTTTCAGACCTTGTTTTACCTTTATGACATTTAAATAATTCTTTATTTACATTTTTAGCATTTTAATTTTACCTCTTTTCTTGAGTATTATTATTACTATCAGTATGAAAACAGCACATGTTGTTAGCCCAAGGAGGCTTCCAAGTACTATATTAATGATCAGTGATTGACCTATTGAGACTGAATGCGTATATAATTAAAGAAAGGTTGAACTGGTTCATACTTTGATTATCAATATTAGTGGTAATAATAGTGGTAGTGCTGACTAATGCTGAAGTAGACAAGGTAGGAGCAGTTTCTGTTGGGAATATATTATCAGTGATTGTTTGTTTGGTGTACTTCTAAAGTACTTAATATGCTTTTCTTACCTTTACCTGATGATTCAGGCCCATCAACTATGTTTTCTATTTTTATGTTATACAATTCATAGTTCATTACTCTCGTTATTACTAACTAACCTGTGCCTGATGGTTCAATCCAGTCCACTGTATATTGTATAACTACTGCTGGTGTCAGTATTATTAGTCCATTCTCAATATCATGTGCATATACAGTGTATGTTCCATTATCAGTAAATGAGTAACATGTTCCATTAGTTTGTGTTGATTGTGGTATCAGTGTTGTTGCTACTGATGCTATCATTACTTGACATTCATTAAACATTTCAGTAACACAAACAAAACAGACAATACCCTCACTCTTCTCTATCATTATATCCTTTACATTATATTTGCCTACAATAAAGTGACTAATTTACATTGTAATATGTAATCTTACTTATTTCTGTTAAATCAGAGCTACTGGTTCCATATGTACCAATTGCTGATACTGTTAGGTAATATAATGAGTTTCTGTTCAGTTTTATATTCCAGTGTACTGTATAAAACTCATCAATATATCGAAAACTATCAATATCCATTGGATCTGTTGTGTTAAAACTATTAGCTCCAGCTAAAAGCAACTGTATGTCATTATTAAAGCACTGGTGTATCTAATATAAATAGTATTATTGTGTGCAGTCAATGCATGTATGAAAGTACTCTTACTTGAAATCTTATTACTAAAGTTTCATTTTTAAAGTATAATGC